TCAGCGAGGTACATGTACCTCGTCGACTGGAAGGAAGCCCTTCCAGTCGGCGATGTAGCTGTACCTGGTGGGCTGGAAGGAAATCCTTCCAGCCGGCCATCTCCTCTTTCCGGCCTCGGGTATCCTTGGGGATACCCGGATATCCGCCGGGATTTCACGGAAAAGGGGGCATCCGCACCCGAATCCGCACCCGCCAGCGGATATCCCCTGGCACTGGCGGGTATCCGCCAGCGGATAGCGGATATCCGCGACGGATTATCCCCGCCCATCTCTATTGCTAGGATTTGGGCACCACTGGCTTTCCCTGTGAAATTGGCTGGAATTTGCCCAGTGTAAATCTGATGCTCATCAGAGTTTGAAATTCGGTGTAACAAATTCAGATCATCTCATTCATTTTTTCTGTCTTTTGGAAGTGTAATATATAGTCTTGAAAAAAAAAGGAAGGCATAATAAAAGGATAAATAACCCCCCAAAGAAATTATGTAGTCTGTATGATAATAACACTGAGGAAGTAAAAGAAAAAGCGACTAGGTACAATAGAGATATCAAGCGAAAAAAGAGACAAAAAAAGATACACCATAATCAGTAGTACATTAGTCAAAGTCTGTCCACAAAACAAGAACATTGAATTGAAAGAGAGGAATGATAAATAATTGGGTAAGGGAAGGATTAATATTGACAATTGTTGTTTTTTCGTGTATAAATAGCAAGAAGTATGACATATAAATGTATATATGAGCAAGAGGTATCATATATAAAAGTATATGTGAGCAAGAGGTAATTAGATGATGCCAGAGTTAAGAGGATGATGACGAAGGGAGCAACTTTTTGCGACGAATGTTAGCCAGATATTTATGAAATCGACCCTTGCTGGCCGATTCATCAGCAAGATCGGTAGGAGCATGGATGTGATCCTGATTAGGATGACGGTCTTGAATAGCTGGGGAGCTGGAAGAAGAAGGTTCGCCGGATGGATGACCAGTCTGTTCGGGGGTCGCGTGATCTCCCTGTCTAGACCCATGTCTTCGTTTACGGGCGTGTGGAACAATCGAGAATAAATTGCTTGTTCTGTTCTGAAGCCGTTGTCGCGCAGATCCTGCGGGATGTGATCGTTCTCCGTCTGAGGGTGATGCTCCACTGCCAAACGATAACCAGGGAGGGAAAGTCCTCGATGAGCGCGAAGGGTTGTTGATATCGCCCGGACTGCTCCTTGAACTACTTGCAAACTGCGAAGTTTGAAGGACCGATGGATCGTCCTCTGGTTGGCCAGACACTGGGGTAGGTTGAGGTGCGCAAGTTTCATCGCTCTCCGATTCAACTACTTGGGTAACAATTTTCGAGCCATCTTTTCGGGTACTCAGATCCCAGCGACATAGCGGGCAAAACTTCGATTCATTCAACCTAATCAAAAAAACCATTCAGTCATTAAGTGCATTCCTTTTTTACCGTTTCAATTTCTCAACACAAGTAAGTGACTTACAGCCATGGATCAACACATTCCTTGTGAAATTGATGACGTGCATCACAAGGTAACATCCGAATGTCATCATCATCTTCAAAGTCACAAACACAAATTGGACAAGTTATTGAATTGTTGACATCCACAAGTTCACTTCCCACTTCAGCATGATCGTTGGTCGCTTTCAGCAAGTCTCCAGTTGGCTCATTAGCTTTGTGCATATCGATTTGGGTCAAATCTTCATGAGCAGTTGGCATTTCATTATTAGCTAATGGTGGGTCCGAGTTGAGACTGTCCTTGCCCTTCTGTTGATCTACGGGTGATATGTTATCTATCGACAGGCGGGACCGAGACATAAGAGGCACCTGTGATGCAGGAATCTGCCACGTTTCCTCGTCGATTTCACCTTCTTCATCCTTGAGTGCCGAGCCGGACGAAGGCTGAACCGTACTGCGTTCACTCATCATGATCCTTTCTTCGCCCGGGCTGGCGGGGTTTACTATTGCTTTCGGATCTCCTGAGACATTGTTATTCCCTTCGGAATCAAACTTAGGATCGTCCCGCTGCCGCCCAAATTTCACGATTGGGAATGTATCGAGAATAGCCTTCCCAAGTCCAGCAGCACGAGTCTGACGAGGTTGAGCGTAGGGGTCCTCTTCACCGGTCTGAGGATCAACCCGACCACCTGGCCGAGGCCCATACCGGTCGGGGTTTCGAATGGCACGTATCGCTCCAGAAATGATGACGATCAAGAACCTACCCACGTCGGTGTGGGGGGATAGCAAAAGTGGTAGTGGTAAACAAGCAAAGACAAGTATGCACACCAAAAATCGAAATCTTCAACATTTGTCAGTGGGATGATTGAGTGAAGCAAATGAAATAAAACAGGTGCCAAGCTTACATAAAAGACACACATCCGGTGATAGCATATAAAATGATCATAGCTAGGCCTGTGTTGGGATTGTTGTTGTTGCCGGGAGTGTTTGGGGAGTTGGTATTCTGATTTCTATCTTGTTTCTGCTGATCCAAGCTACCGGTGATTTCGGCATTGGCCAGGGTAGCAATGAGGTAGACTGGTGGTGCATTCATGCCCAACCCGGTTGAGTGTCGGGAGATGTTCATGTTCAACTTGAGGGGGGGAGAGTGATTGTGAGGGTGGGAGGAGCGGGCGATTAGCTTGTGAGAAGGTTCGGCAGAATGTTCATCGAGTGGATTAGAACGTCTTTCAAGAGGCAGCTCAGCTGATGATTCGGACAATGAGCTTTGATTGGACTGATTGTTTGAACCGGTTTGGACCGAAGAATTTGTAGGCAGGGCTGGTTGGGGCGGAGGGGAATCAGTAAGGTTCGACAAACCGAGCGACTTGATTTGTTCCAGGATCGTGGGGGCCGAAGAATTGAGTAAGCCGGATTGAAACCAATAACCGGCGCCGAGGACATTGCTGTATTGAGGCAGGTTTGGGAGTTGAAGAAAGAAAACGTTAGAATGAGTATAATAAGTAAAGGTGGAGAAGAATGATTTAAGCAAAAGGTTTGGAGGCAGTTGCGGGGAATGACCTCATAGGTTTGCCTGATAGATAAGTAAATGAAAGATGAGAAATTTGAAAGAATAGATTAGAGCTTGAATTGTGATACATGGGAGTTTTCTTAATTCTCAAAGAGGCTCAATGTTCGTTGGGTTTTGGACATGGACACAACGTCAAGAGTAACTGGATGGCAAGATTTTACGAAACAAGACCGCTGACGCTTGCGAGTTCCTAGCCCTGACGGAGTCGGGCTGAAAACTTTGGCACACAACATATCTATAGAAGGAATTATTTTGGCAATTACGCAAACTTACCTGAATTGAGATTCGATTAATCTTGCACCTTGGAGATTGGCAGCACTGAATACATCCAATGGCTTCTCGAAATTTTGCAGATACTCTGGATTGACCTCACAAGAGTGTGAAGTCAAACTGTAGAGCATCGCAGCAGCGGCTCCCCGGTCACGAGCCAATGTGAAGATGTCATCTTGAATTGAAAAGACGGTCGAATTGGAATCGCAGCTTGATACATATTTAGATGTTTTACAAGTATCAGAGTAAATCAGTTCTCGATGAATGTGAAACCCCGGTTGAATGAAAGTTGCACTGAAAAAAGAGGACTTACTTGATCATTGCAATCCAGGGCACAATGGCGGGTGGTTGATTGGTTGCATTGAATTCGGAGAAATGTAACAAGACCCCTTGCTGTAGGTGCACATAAATAAGGAATAGGATGGAAGGTCAACTATCTAATCGAAATGGGAGAAAGAGAGAGACAGAGGGGGGGGTGATGCGGATGAGGGTGATTTTTACATAGATTGAATGATTCGAGCTTTCAGATCTGAGTTGATGATTAATTCCATCGCTGAAGATTCCGATCGGATGCCAGTTGAGTTGGATTATCCAATTCTTATCGTTCTGAGCCGGAGTGTTCGATGATTGGTTCGAGGGCAATGCTGGTATGTAAGACTGGACTGGCAAGATCAATCCGAGTAAGAATAAGTAGATCATCATGATGGTCGATGTTGGACAGACAGCTTGATGTTTTATTTTGCCTTCGATCTCATTCTTCTCTATGTTATGGATGCAGTTAAGTATTTACAATCTGTTTCTCATCCTAATTGATCAGTAATAGTCTACATCAATCAATCGAGATGGCCTTGTCTGCTTCTCGAGGATGTCGTGTTCTTGCTGTTGTGGTTCTTGGTGGTTCGTGGTTGTTACTTTCCTGTTGACCGTCGATGGGTTTTCTTTCTCCCTGTTGACCGTCGTTTTGAAGTTTAAATATCAGTACACACAGTTATAGCAAATTGGCTTATCAAAATGAATGCTTGGACATCAACCGTCTCCTCGACGCGAAGCCGACCAGCTTCTCGGCTGTGACGTCACAAATCGGCATATTATCCGAATCCGAGTTCAGAAAACAGCAGAAAAACTCAGATCACACCCATTTATAAAAAAGTTTAGTCATCTGGTCTGGTTTGGAAAGTCACACGTCACATAACCCCTGCGTTTGACTTCGACTTCCCTTCATATCAAGTCGCTTATTTTGGATGCGTGGGGGATCGACAAAATCGAGCATAACCACTGGCACCAGGCACGTTCAGCAACTTGTACAAGGTGCTTCACAATCTGATTATTGGTCTGTTTATGTTCCACTTTATCTGCTACTCTCTTCGAATATCTCATCATCAGAAGTTACATTACTTATTGAGCTGATCGAAGGGTTCCTCTGATGATTGACATGTACATGGCCAGGACAGAGTGGATTGAGAATTTGCCACATCTAATAACCATCAAGAGACAGAGAGGAAAGAAACAACGGTGCCTGATTATAGGTCGTACCATACAAGATCCCCATGCGTCATGGGGCTCAAGATGTGGGAGCAAAAAAAATTGGAAGAGTGAGTGATCAATGTGGAGAGTGAACAATTAATGCAGACAAGAGAATATCTTAGAGAGCAGGTCACATATAACCCAGTTTTGAGAGCTTCCTACCGGCATTGTTGATTTTTGGAGTCTTCAATATCGGTGAAACATTGACCATATCCAGACAAACCCCAAGAATATTCCCAAGGCCCAAAAAGGAATTGCATATTTTCGTAAGCCACCGCAAGTTACATAGTCACATAGTATGCTTTCCATCTCTGACAACTCTCTTGTTTTGTGCACTTCCTCTTCTCTCCAGATCCGCCTCATTATTTCTAGGTCCTTTGAAGCATCACCTCGACAGAGTGGACAGGAAGGGTGATCCGGGTTCTTAATCAATGATTCTGTGATGCAAGCCTTGTGGAATGGATGCTTGCAACCCACGATTCGATATGTCTCCTGAATCTCAATTGCAGACAAGCAAATGGCACAGTCGGTAACTTCAGGCCGGGCTTCAATGTCAATGCAGTGTTCGGCTTGATCACCTTGAGCTTCATTCACAGGGCTTTCGGTTTCTTGTTTACTTTCCACTGCTAAATTCTCCATGAAATTGTCATGATTAGAAAGACACTTCTCTATGTGCTGCGCCGAATTTGATGGGATTTTAATATCAGATATTCTTGTTGGTTTTCTACTATTGCTGCTTCTCTCTACTCCATCTTCATTCACGCTTATCATGTGAACTGGATAGTGTTCCTGGAATCCCAAAATATCAGTCATCCTTATGAGCCTTTTCAGATATAATGACCAGGAACAAAACCCACTTTCTGGGATGAATCATTTTCCAATCCATTTGATGATGCTTTTGGATCTTTACAAATAGATGAGCACCTCAAGGGAGCTTCGATTCCCACATTGTATGGATCGGTGATACATGCCATGTTATTCGATCCGATAGAATGAGTCACGGGTTGCAAGCTGACAAGCTGGATGCTTTTACCAGGGGATTCCATCCCGGAGTTTTTTTGGATAAGCTAGTGAGAAAAGAAGCATGGGGGTCAGGCCGGAAGTTGGGCAGGTCCAATTGTAAGCATCGGGTAAACAACAGCATCAATAACCTACTACGATGAAGAATAACCAGGAAAACATCTTGTCAAAGTCTAGCTGTAGCTCAGAAACTCCGTCCAGCGACACCTCCCTTATCAATGATGAGTGGATCCGATGGTGACAACTTGTTGAATGCGCTTGGCACTATTTCGGATTCAAATTGGCAGACCTTTAGTTTACTATCCAGTTGCGTTGTATGTATCCTTATGTGTTCTTGTTTTGACGAGACAGCGACATAAAATCCAGGAGCCGGAGTTCCAAACAATTCACAATAAAACATCACAAGCCAATTATTTCGTCTGAGGCCGGACTGTCCCTTAAAACGGCCAATGATTGCGTTGATGTATGTCAAATGTTCCAGAGGATCATACTGAACCAGAAGCATCAGATTTTACATTTATGTTCTCCTGAGTTTGATGAGTTTGAGAGGTACAAACGTGCCACTGCAAGCAACCGATCTTTCTGACTGCGGCTGTATCACCGATTGTCATGATCACCCTCAACGAAAGGGGTCCGAGTCGATGCGATTGACACCGGGTAAAACACGCGGAACATCGCATTCTTACGGCAAGCATAACTAATCACACCGCTTTCGCGTTCGCAGGCGGTCTTAAGCTCCCCGCAGGGGTCAGGAGATCAGGTGCTCCGTGCCACTTCGAATATCAAAAGGATCGGCTTCGGTGGACAAGGATCAACCGCACATGAAATTCAAATCTGTATTCACTAATCATGGCAATTAAATCAGCAAGATGGAAGAAAGGAGAAAGAAACAACAAAAAAAGTGAAAATTCTGAAACATTCTATATGTGATAAAGCAACAGTAGGACCCAGGAGACCCCCTATAGAGGTGCCTAACCAAAACGTCAAAATGTATACAACCACTTTGACTGAACATCAGATGTGCTATCTGGATAATTGCCACATCAGGACATGTACATACTGAAGGTGAATCCAGCCCATGAACTTTTTAGTTGTAAATCTTCACCAGTGAGCCTTGAGAAGCAAAAAACTAAAAAAAAAAAAAAAAATCTGAAAAAAATTGCTACATTTTTTTTTTTTAGTTTTTCAGTTATTAAAACTCACTCGTTGACGTTAGCCACTAAAGAATACATGTACAGGATGCACATTGAGGGTGTACATGTCCTGATGTGGCAACTATCCAGATAGCACATCTGATGTTCAGTCAAAGTGGTTGTGTAGGGTGAAAACCCATTCCTACATTTTGGTTAGGCACCTCTATAGGGGGTCTCCAGGGTCCTGCAACAGTAGCTTTGGTTTAAAACAGTACAGTTGCGCGCGGCAAATTACTGTACAAAACCGACTTGGCTGCATGGGGCAAGGCCGGGGGACCAAACCTCCAGATGATGATATTTTTGGAGGTTTCAGACTGTGTAGATTCTAAATCCAAAGTGGCGACCAAATTGGTCCAGCCAGTTTTTTTTTTTTTTTTTTTTTGGCCAGCAATCCGGACACATGCCCTCAGGCCGGACTTTCCCTTGCGCCAAGGGAAGCCGGATCCTCCCAAAAAGTCTTGACCATCCGGACACGACTTGTACAGTAATTTGCCGCGCGCAACTGTAGTGTGGGGATGAATAATCAATGAATGAGCAAGTTAAATATTGGAAAATTCAACACAAAATAGGGGGGTTCATGATTGAACTTTAGAGTGATTTTTAAGGTGTTTATGAGCAACATTTTATAATTTTTTTGAGTTTTTCCAATTTATTGGTTTCTGAACCTTCTGTAAATCACAAAAAAATTATAAATTTATGATCAGAAACACCTTAAAAATGGCCTTAAAGTTCAATTGTGAACCCCCCTAATATCCCTTGTCATTTCAGGAAAAATAAATCTTGCACAATTTTATTTGGTTGAAAATCCAAAAACAAGCTCACTTGCTCTGTGGATCAGATTCTCATTGGGGAGGCACATAGGGCCAATATCAGTAAAATTCTATAGACCATCAGCGTGTGTGACAGGCCAAATTTAATCAGCAGTAAACCAGCTCTCACACCCACATCAGAAATCAGCACCATCCTTTGTGAACAGATCTAATTCATTTCAATGTTTTTGATCCACTAAATCAGAAAATTTCCAAGTTGAAAAAATAGTAAATTGAATACCAAAAAAGCCTTTGAATTCTCTTTGATGAGATTTCAATTTTCCCTTGTTCTTTTTTTGGAAACATTGTTCATTATAGTTTCATGGTTTGAATGAAAGACCATCATATTTATCAATCCAACCAACATATCATTCTCTGTTTTTTGATACCCCCTACTACAATCAGAAAATTTTCCAGTTCTTTCTTTCCAATGGATTAGAAGATTGTGAGAGAAAGTCTGCAAGCATCTTCTCTCAGTAAAAATGTAATAATTTGTGCCCTGAAACCATTGGAATTTGAATAGCTTTGAAACCTTTTTGGCCCAATCTTTGTTGTTGAATTCTGGGCTATCTTCATAAATACCCCACCAGGTTTCATTGATGAATTCTAAGATATTTTCAGAGTCTTTCAATGTAAATACTTCATCCCTATGCTGCTTAAATAAAGAAAGATAGATTATAATCAAAAGATGTGCAGTTTTGGTTACATCTTTAACAAATTGAATTATGATTTTGATGTCTAGTGTTCGCGTTTTATGTACACAGCTTCTAAGATTTGTTTCAAGAATGATTTGAAGTCTTTGTATAAGTTGCTTTGAAAAAAGTGGATTTCCTTCAAGATTGATTTTCTTATCTGAGATTCTCAACAAGGTTTTCATTGTTTGATTTTTTCTTTTATCTTTTGATATTTCTTTTTCAGGACTAAAATAGTTTTTCATGGAAAGATATTTTTTCCAGAAAATTCCAGAATTATTTCTCTCAATAAAAAAGAAACAATCCAAGTTGGTTTCCCCCTTGCACTTATTGAGAAACTTGAAGAATGCTTCCTGGTGATCATCCTGTGTTCTAATTTTTGGTTCTTCTCTTATAAGATTCCAATCATATACTTTGAAAAGTATTTTGGTGTCCTTTCTTGCCTTGATTTGGGAGATATCCAAGTTGTTGACTGGGATGTCAAGCTTTAGATTCTCTGCAGCTTGTTTCCCTTTCTCATATATTTTTTCATAATGTAAAAAATGGTTGTTTTCATTCCTTGATGTGTTTTTTGAAGGTAATTTAACTTCAGTTTTGAGACACAGTTTCCCTTCCCCTTTGACTAGAACTTTTCTTGAAATCGTTTTCAATTCCTGACTGTTTTCTTTGATATGAGAAGAGATGGTTGAGGCATTGCTGATAGGAATGGTTTCTTGCTTGAAGTCTTTGGCACTTTGATTCAATTTCAGGTCATTTTTTGTGTGCTTGCAGTAAGTAGCTGAGGAATCCCTTCTTTGAATGAACTCTTCTTTTGATGGCACTTCTCCTAAGCATTTTACATCAGGAACT